CCATGCAGGTCTGCATACCTTATCTCAAGGAACCTGAGTCCGAGTATCTCTACTATCACATTTATTAGCCCTTTACTTTATGGAACTGCTCAAATTGATCAAATGAGAAGTTGAAAGTTTTTCATTGAACAACCACTCCGGAGAGAAATACAGGCCAGTTTCCAGGTTACTGAATGAAATTTATTGATTGATCTTCACAGAAAAACAATCAGAAACAATAATTCCAAGCGAAACATCCAATAATAAATGGACATGATTAAAAGGTTTCGGTGATATGAATATCGAGCGGCTCCAGAGACTTTTAGAATGTGAAGATAGAAACAAGATGCTGCTGCCTTCGAGACGATTTTCTTTTGCTTTTTCGATTTCTATAGCTTCTATAGAACAGCCACAGCACACCAACTAACTTGCAGTTCATGTTACTGTGAAGTTTCCACTGGTTCGTCTTAGGATCAAAAACTTCAACCGAATTAGTAGCATGCCCACCAATAGCATACAGTTTTCCGTTGACTGCAGCCAGACCTAACTAAAAACGGTACAATACTTTATTAACAAAAATGGATAAAGTGGTATAGTGAATACAGCTGACATACACCACTTCGGCTACACCTCATACCAGCCACTGAAGTCCACTTATTAGCACGGAGGTCGTACTTTTCAGCAGAGCTTAGCCACAAACGATCGTTAAATCCACCCGCAACATACAATTCGCTATGGAGTACTGCGGAACCATGGCTCTCTCGAGGGGTTGACATGGGACAAACCTCTTCCCACCTACCGACTCGTGGGTCAAACCTGAAACGTGAAAGGCTATTTTGATGGCTGTTTCGAATGCATTTTAGCATTTTATCACAATTCATAAAGAGAAGAGTGCAAAAGAAAAAAAAGTGGTACAGGACTATTGTAAGCACAAAAAAACAGCTCCTTGGATAACCCCCGAAGAGTGCTCGCCAATTTATCGGAAGAACTGTACTATTTTTCCCCTCTCCTGATTCTAACAATCTCGGAGATGAAGTATTCCTACATGCTCTGAACTATGTGATCATTGACTTCGTTTTTTTAGAAGGCTCTTGAGGATTCTGAATCCGTTTCCGACTACAGTGAAGGATAGTTTACCGAAATCTCAACAGCTCAAAGTGCTGAGCGACATCGTGTATAGCTGCTTTAAAATTACCGTACGGAACAATAATGATTTTTGGTCCTTTTTTCTTAAAGTCTTACAAGGTAATCAAAGATGTTGAATGCTGCTAAAAGTAGTACAGTGTCACCAGATTGAAACTGACTCACCTCTCTACGGTATTGAGAAAAGCACCTTCACTGTATCCTCCCACTGCGTAGAGGCATCCATCTAACACGGAGACAGTAAGACGGGCTCGGCGTGAACCCATAGGTGCAGCAGAAGTCCACTCATTTCGCCGGACGTCAAAACTGCAGCGACATCGGCGGCATTCAGTGTATGCGAGAACCGACTAAACCTGCACTTACCATTCAACAATGTCTATGGTACTTTCACTGACAGCCTCAAAGCCGCCAATTGCATAAAGATGGTCGTCAAGAGCTGCTACATCCAGCGAATATCGACCAGTAGGACAGGGAGGGACGTCAGACAACCACTGGTCAGTGACAGGATTATATCTGAAAGAGATGCATTGAGAAAGACTAAATTCCTTCCATCTCACATGGCTATGCGAATGGCTTCAAGAAAATAATAATCATTCAAATCGAACAACCTAGCGAGAGAACTCAAATTTGGAGGAATATGCTCCGAAAACCGCCTATACGTATTTTTCGAAGAGGCATTTTGTGTAAAGCGAATACGTTTTTGCTTATTTCTAAATTTTCCATGGAAAACAGATCTCTGACTAACCCTCTTTCTAGAGAAACAGCGGACACACATAGAGCCAAGACTGATTCAAAGGTAATACTAAGGAAAACAGCTTTTAGTAGAAGCTGCTCTGCTTTTCAATTAAAAACGCAGTACCTCTCGATGCTGTTCAAAATAATACCATCCGAAGTAACGCCACACACAGTGTAAATGGACCTGCCGACAACATCAACGCCACTATACCACCTGAGGAGATACAACCCTTTCCGAGATGGTAAGCACATATTAAAGCCATGTCGTACCTTGGCTGGTTCAAAGAAGCAACGTACTGCCATTCCGGATTAGCTCCTTCAGGATCCAGACGTTCGACGCTTCTCAGCTCCACTCCACCCACTGAATTTTGTACATTTTAAAATAAAATAATAGGAATAATAAAAATGAGAGCATTTACTTTCTAAAGAGGTGAATAGCCAGAAAAAGGAAACGTTTGCTAAGCCTCATACCGACATAGATTACTTCAGCAACCACTCCACCCGCTCGAGTGTGATTCCCTTTTGCATGCGAACATTCAAGGGTAGAAAATTCAAGACTTAGGGCTTCCTAAACTTGCGTCAGTTGAAAATGTAACGATTATTAGCACCTGGCAAGTCTAGAGAACTAATTTGTTAAGAGTAGCCTTTTAGCAAATGCTTCTAACCTTTGCTTGGTCGACAAAATTGCGGCAGGTGGGGTCTGCCATCACAAGCTCATTCTTACTTATTATATTGACAAGAAACTCCGGCCGACAGCGAGGGAATCGTACGTGTTCCAACAGCTGCAAACGTTGAATAGAAGACAGAATCTGAAGAAACTTCGGGTTTTACCTTCGGGAGGAACTGCCTCCGGGCCGAAAAGTCGAACTCAACCCATTGAAGTAATGCACCGAAAACCTGGAGTCATACTTATCGTTAACAAATACACAGATGGAGCTCGAAGCTTCAATGAAATTGACACACTACCTGCTCTTCAAGAGGTGCAATGAGCTCGTCGCAAGAAAGGAGCTGGACCAACTGATTTACTGGAAGATGATGAAATTCTTCAGTGCCAAGAATGTTCTAAAAAAAGTAAAACACTTGTGGACGGAGAGCTCTAAACCAGGATTGGCTACCTGGAAATTCTTCAAGATGTATTCATCAGCACAACGAACGAGTTCTCGACAAGAGTGACCGTCAGCAAATCCTCGAACTTCCAAGCAATTTGACGGGCATAACTGCTTCTTCAAGAACTCACAACAGGCTCCCTGATGTTCACTAGGTAGTGCAAATTGTTGCTAATTATCGAGATTTTGAACGTGGAAAACCTTAATTTCGTCCAACTGGAGCAGACAGGCAGCGTGGAGGATACTCGGAACGTTGACGTCGCTGATCCGTATCTTACCAGAATAGCAGAAATTAACCAGAGCTTCAAGCGCTGCTCCTTCGATATCGACTAATTCTACTTCTTCTAGAAAGAAAATCGATAAACGGGCTATGCAGTGCTTAAATTTGAACGAGAAACATAATGAGACTGTAGATGCAGACATCGCAAGATATGAACGTACGTTGCCCAGACTCGATCGTTTCACTTGTGAACGTGGCCCTGAAGTAGTCCGAGTATGCGGCGAGCACGACCCGATGGGCGCTGATACGGAGTTCCTAGGGAATCCGTCATTCCGGTTCATTAAATCACTTATTCACGTTGTGACCTACCTTGGCTATCAAAGTCACATCACAAAAGCGACCGTCATCACGTAATGCAGCGAGTTTGGTGGTAAGAGATCGATTGTGTGTTTGGCTCTGAACACGTGAATGTTCGCTAAGGAATGGAGGAACAAATTTCGATGAAGATAGGCCTGCGTGTGTGGGACACTGTTTTTGAGGCGGATAAGATTAAAGGAATGAAAAAGGACCACTCGAACTTTAGGATTGATGTCTCTTCAATTAATACCGAGATGGACCACCATGAACGAAAAATGACAGTTCCTTGGAAATGAGAGGAGAGGATAGCGGCCAGGTGTCATTTACTTACGGAGAGGAAAGCACTGGCCTCGACAACCATTTCCAAGACTCAATATAGAACACCCTTGACATGACGTTCTCGTGGAATATATTTTGATGGCAAACATATGACGAACTCAGGATTAGAGTCGACTCGGTGCCTCGGGTAACCACCAATTTCCGAAAAAGTTTCTGACCAACACTTTCTATGAGGAAGACAGCCGTTTCTTCTCGAAATCCCACATGAAGTAGGCCTTCGCAAAAAGGAGCCTGCTCGGGAATACTATAAAGTGTGAGTAATGTCATTTGGATGTTAATACTGTCATGAACTCCAATTTCATGATGCCATCCTCTTGTTATCCGTTTGCTGCTCGGCAGGACATTTGCATTGGTGGGGGATTGGACTACCAGCACAGCCGGAATCGCTAGGTTGTTCCGACCACAGCCTCAGCCATCACAGCATATTCCAGGCCGAATCTGTCTGCGTCAAGAAACAATGTAAAACCAGCGGACTCGTTAAGGCAAGCTGCCTCTACTGGAGAGCGGAGAGTACGTCAATTAAATTGCCGAGTCAGGAAGTCGAAGGGTTTTATAATTCCGGTCGGGACACTTATTTTAATTGTGCAAGTGGAAGTTCCTTTAATAATGAATATGTTCAATAAATACTTCTGTTGTTAAAAGAGTTAACCTCAACACGAGCCAGTGGTTTTTACATCTGGAGAGTGGGGCCCCAGAACAAATACCATAATTAAACATATTTTTACCTCGAACTCGAAAATATCTCCCCCTTTTCCATTATGCTTGTTTTTTGAAAGAAGCGAACTCAAATGGCCTGACATTTCCACTATTTTGTGCCGTATCTGCTGTTTTCACAACGACGTTCTCCTTTGTCGACGCAATATCTGAACGGAGATGTTTAGTAGACCGATCGGCATTCACTGATTGTGAGACGACCATGATTGTGAGATCAAGAAAATCAATAAAAATCAATAAGCCGTGGTCAGATTTCATTTCAGAGTTCACGAGTGAAAGACACTGAAAGGCACTCGTGTATTCCTTTCGTTCCATACTGAGAGGACATCCATCCCACATCCCACACATCTAGATTCACTAGATATTTAGAAATAGAATCTCACAACTTCAACCTCCGAATCTAGAAATGTCCCGCAAATCAGTCACCCACAATTTCCACAGTCTATTACCTTTCTAGAAATTCACTAACAATCAGAATGGTTAATTTGTAGGTATACCTGCCATAGCAATTCGTGAAGCGGTTTTGGAAGTTTGGTACATGAAAGTGAATTTTTCGAAAACAACTCATTTGGAAGTCGAAGAAAACTCATTGACCGCAGACTGGGAGGGCAGGGAGCAGACCTTGTCCAAAGGGTAGAAGACTGAAATAACAGTATAGACCGAAATGCTGTGAAGAATTACATTCCAGAAGGTTCAGCAGGCTTGAAGCTGTGCTGTATGGCAACAGACCCATCCCAAAGAACGTATGAGTCAGAAATTTGTTGAATGCTTCCTCGATCACACGCGTCTCCCGATGAAAATCGATCGAGTGGGAATGTCGAAGAATTCGTCAACATTGACAGAACATTCGAAAACCTTTTCGGGATGATGGAATAGCTCAAGCCCTCTACAAGTACTATCGGGAGAAATTTCAGGGTGAACGTGAAGTAAAAGTGAGTCTTCTCTTAACAAGCCGTTCTCTCCGAGGTATAATCCTTCTAGTCAACACCATTTCCTAGCAACAGTCTGCATGAGATCAGTGTTTCACCCATCTTCGAGCTCCCTCTACCTTCGAACTTATCCATAAATGTCTCTTCGCTCAGCTTAAACTCCTAGTTAGCACCATAGCGAATCGACTGAGTCGTCAAATCATTCTCGGCTGCGCTCTAGTCTTCAACTTGCAGGCGCAGAGCACAAGGTGGAGGCCGGTCAGGCGTCATTTCCAGTCATACTATTTTCGAGAAGCACTTCCTTCTAATGTCAGGATTTCGACAACTAAGATCCTCAAAGCCACCACTGCCTAAAGATGGTCGTCAAGAGCAGCCACAGCTAGCCAAAATCGACTAGTCGGACAACGAGCGACTTCAGACATTTACTAGTCAGTGGCAGGATTACCGTCGAGGAAACACCTCCGACGCTCTAGTTTCACAAATAAATCACTCGTTAAACAATACACATTTCACCTCCTACAGATCCTACAGATCTTTGAGGAAATCATAGGTTCTTAAAGGCACAGTTCACGATAATTCCCCGTTGCTGGCTTTCCCGCCCCTCGATCGATGTGAAGTCAGACGAGTGTCGAGGCAATACAGATTACAATTAGTCGTTCTAGGATCCACACACAATCAGCTGATCGCCGAGTGATGAGGGGATGCTTCTTGTCCCGTTCTCTTTTCCTCTGTTATTCTTTTTGTTACCGCGATCCTTTATTTGTTTCCCTACCCCAAGAGGCTGGAAAGGTGAGCTTTTTTTGCTGTTACTAGGGTTTTGTTGACTTATATTTATAAGTAAGTGAATTTTTGCTCGTTGTAATTATTTGCACCAGAACGCACACATACGCATTGACCCACGTTGTATAGCTCGTCCAAACGCCCCACTCTTCTTCATTCTTCTGGTTTCACTCTCGTCCAGCCCCCTTTTTAACGAATTTTCGAAGTCGTTTTTCACTTTGGAAACACCTATTCTTGCAG